AACACAATCTGAGCTATATAATATAACTAGATAGAAGTACTCACGATTTGGGATAAAACCCCGAAGATCCATGAGAGAGAATTCGGATTTTCTGTAGTTGGAAATGCAACTAATGAATGAATATGGTTCAGATTTCTATATATAGTCCTGAGGTTTCTGGCAGAAAATAATTTATTCCCGTAATGAACTCTAATATCATAGAGTATTGGGATAACAGTGTTGCACAAAACCCTAGTGCATCCACTCTCCTGATATCTCCTTAAGTGCTAAGCCTAAAATACTCAAACTTATACCCAAAGTCTGAAATTTCACTGTAACTGTTCTAACTTCTATTGGCTTGATATGGTTTGTTTAGAATGGAAATTTCGGGTTATCACAGGGATTGTTGGTCCCGAATAGATCTATCCACAAATTTCACGCTCTCCCTCTAGGAGACTCTGGTTATACTACCGGTGAGGATTTATTGGTACCCAGAGGGACAAAAACGAAGATAGTCTCACAATCTTGTATTAACTAGTTTACGTGTTGTTCGGTTGTTCTCGAGTTCGAAATTGTTTGTAACGGTGTAGAGTATAAATAATTATACATAAAATAATTATTTAGCATGATACTCTAGTTTTGTATTCGTAGTAATGGATAAACTATATCTGACATAGTTTATATGTTTGACTTTGCATGAAGTTTGAACTTGTAAGACTGGTAATGAAATCCCAAACTATACCTATTATAGTTTGAATGGTTGTTACGTTTGTGTATGGTTTTGAAAACTATGCAATATTGAATTGAAAACATCCCTTATGCTCCGCATAATACAAAAGGGATAATTGTATCTAAACGTTTGATAGAAATTCATTGTAATTGCATCAGTTTTTAAGTTATGAAAACCTTTATGTTTAGCTTGTATTCCCCCCCCCCCCCCCCCACTTGAAAAACATGAAAACTCAGAAAAGCGTAGGGGTATGAACTCACAGTTTAACGTAGGATTTGAGTGTACGATCAATATGAGTGTTGAGTGTCAATGGATGTTCTGAACGCAAGTGGACCCTATTAAGCATATGGTAACACATATACGTATTAGATTAGGGTATTTCATGACTAATCATGACGGAAACCACCCTAAAGTCTTGGAAATGTTTGCACTAAGTGTTTTAGGTTCCACACGTAGTGGTACTTGCAAGTTTAAGGCCAAATATGAGAATTAGAGTGGGTGTATGGCCATAAAGGTGAGTGTGCGGCCAGGGAGTGCGGCCAGACTTGTGTGTATGGCTGCACACAGGAGTGTGTGGTCGTACAGAGGGTGTCTGCGGCCGTACACAGGAGTGTGCGACTATACACTCCTTGTTTGAGCCTGAAATGTCGATTTTTAGGTGTTTTTGAGGCATTCTTGTGCTAATATACAGTCCTATTAGTAAATGGAGGCCAACTCTTCACTTTGGAGAGTTTTTAGGGTGTGTGCGGCCACCTTATGAAGGTGTGCGGCCGCACTCCTTCAAAGGATGAAGAACACAAAGAACACTATGAGTTTTAGGCTTAGATTTAGGTCTCTTACCACTATAACAAGCTGAATGGTGAAGTAGTTCATGTTTTTGAGGCCTTAAGAGTGTTCTTGGATGAAGTTTTTAGAGAGAGAACGTAGAGAGAGAGTAGTGTGTAGCCAAAGAAGAAAAAGTGACGTAGAGAGAGAGTAGTATGGGTATGAACTCACAGTTTAACGTAGGATTTGAGTGTACGATCTATATGAGTGCTGAGTGTCAATGGATGTTCTGAACGCAAGTGGACCCTAATAAGCATATGCTAACACATATACGTATTAGATTAGGGTATTTCATGACTAATCACGATGGAAACCACCTAAGGTCTTGGAAATGTTTGCACTAAGTGTTCTAGGTTCCACACGTAGTGGTACTTGCAATTTTAAGGCCAAATATGAGCATTAGAGTGGGTGTATGGCCATAAAGGTGAGTGTACGGCTAGGGAGTGCAGCCAGACTTGTGTGTACGGCTGCACACAATAATGTGTGGCCGTACATAGGGTGTGTGTGGCCGTACACAGGAATGTGCGGCCGTACACTCCTTGTTTGAGCCTGAAATGTCGATTGTTAGGTGTTTTTGAGGTGTTCTTGTGCTAATACCAAGTCCTATTAGTAAATGAAGGCCAACTCATCACTTTGGAGAGTTTTTAGGGTGTGTGCGGCCACCTTATGAAGGTGTGCGGCCGCACTCCTTCAAAGGATGAAGAACACGAAGAACACTATGAGTTTTATGCTTAGATTTAGGTCTCTTACCACTATAACAAGCTGAATGGTGAAGTAGTTCACGTTTTTGAAGCCGTAAGAGTGTTCTTGGATGAAGTTTTTAGAGAGAGAGAGAGTAGTGTGCAGCCAAAGAAGAAAACGTGACTGAAAGAGGGTTCTCTACTATATATAGGGTCAGGTGTGTGGCTAGGGGTGTGTGTGCAGCTGGCTGGCCGCACACACCTTCCTTGGTGTGATTGGCTCGATTTTGTGATGCTACAAACTTTCTAACCCTTCTTAAGACTCGTATCTATGATATACTAAGCCTAAAGCACTCATATGGACCCAAAATTTCGCTAAGAGATGATAATTTCAAGTGTAATATTGATATATGGATCGATTGTACAAGATAAAAGTTTCGGGTTGTCACACCATCGTGGTTAGTGGTGATGATGAAGGTTGAGGTAGGGATGTTTGAATCCAAAAGGAGGAGAAAAAGAGGAATCAATAGTTACTTATGAATCAAAAACCACAAGGCTAAGAGCTTTCCCGATCGACCTTCTTTACCCCCCCCCCCCACTGCCTTCATTTGTAACGCTCGGTTCCTAAGTAAATTCCTTCAATTTTAAATGTTTATTATTTTGAAAAGATGGCCATTACGTTGGGCGTAATTGAGGTATGTTGGGCGTACCTCGTTGAGCCTCAAACACTGGGTTTCCCCCTAGTATGTTGGTTGTACCTAGTGTAAATTGGGCATACTCGAGCCATGGTAAAACCAAAAATTTAGGGTTTGGACCCTATTTAAGCACTTTATAACCCCAAGGCATCTTCTATCACCAACCTCCTTCGTCCGAAAGCAATTCCCACGAAACCCTAATCCTTTTTTAGAGAGTTTTGATTGTTTTGTGTGTTTTGGTGTATTTTTGGTGCAACTTGAAGAAAAAAGAACCCTTTGGAGAAGCATTTCTTGGCGTAAAAGCTTGTAGATCCAAAATCTATTCACCTTCATTTTCTTATAGAAGGTATAATGTATAAATCTTGGTGATTCTTTGTTTAGATCTAGGCTAGTTAAGGTTTTTGGCATATTTTGGTCCCTTGGGTTGATTCATATGAGTATAAGTTACTCTAGAAACTTAGAATAGTAAATATTGATGTTTTTGAGGTCCCTTATTCATAAAAATGGCATCGTGATGGATTTAGCCCAACCATGCATGAGTTGATGGTCATAATTTGAAGTTAGAGTGTTAGAATTGGGTGTTGGGACTTGTTGAGCCATGAAAAGGCAACAAGTTGATGACTTTATCATTTAAGATATTTCCCTAAAGCAAGATCTGTGATTTGGACGTTTGGACTTAAGGCATTAAGTGCTTAATGTGAGTTTTAGTCATCAAGGGAATACGTTGGGTGTAAGTTAGCATATGCTCGGTGTAAGGTGAGCCAACCTCGTTCCTCCTTCGCTTCTAAAACTTATACGTCAGGCTTAAGAGGGTGGTACGCCTAGTGTACACACCAAAGGACCCTTGGGTCATTATTTAGGGCTTAGGTCAGTTTGGGTTATTGTTGGGCCTTCGGTCTTTATGAGTTTGGGCCATGGTCTGATGGGTCAAATAAGAGAAGGGTAAAATGTCTTTTACCCTTAGCATGTTAGATTGTAATATGGACCTTTTATGGGCTATTACCCTTATTATTTGATGGGTTTTGATTGATTTAAAAATAAAAATTTTACTTATGATTTAGGATGTTACATCATTCTTTCTCGATCGCAACTTGTTCCTGGCTCTCTCCCTCCCTTTACCGATGTCGTACCAGTTAGCACACGGACACGCCTAGTTTTCTTGTTCTCCTTTGGACTCCTAAGTCAAGTCCACTTTGTATAAAAATGAGGCTGTCCAAAAATAAAAAGAGAGGCCGATTAGCTCTCTTCCTCACGTCAATATGGGCTTATTTCAAAAATATTTCACTTTGCCCCTCTTGCTTTACCGTAATGTCATAATTCATCCTCCTAACAAATTCTCTTTATCATTCTAAATTTTCCCACTTCGCATATAAATCCCCTACGGTTTAAAACCCTCCCATTTTAAGCTTCTTAAATGTTTTCAATTTATTATTATTATTATTATTATTATTATTATTATTATTATTATTATGATTTTCCCTCTTTAGGTTTAAAAATTCAACTATATGAATGGACAAGAAACGGGGCATTACAAAGATGATGTTTAGAGAGAAGGTGTGCGTCAAGTGGTAACGACAATGCGTAACCGGTGGCGGCAATGTCGAGTCGATTTCTCGAGCATGTGGAGTAAGAAGACGACATCGATAATAAGCAGACGGCTTTGCGCGAAAATGAACATAAAATGTATTCAGTGTTTTTTTAGTTTAGACAATAAATTATCATAATTTATTAATTTTTAAAAACATGATATATTTGTATGAAACGCTTTTTGTTTGTCATATAACTGTTGTATATCATAATTCGTCTGCCATTAAAAGTTTTTTTTCTAGTAGTATTGTTTCTTAGAAACAACTCACGGACTAAAAGCATGCCTCACCCACATAATTTCGAACTTATATCGCATGCTTATACTTCCTTTGCGCTTGCCTCTTATAATTGAACAAAGATACATGTCTTGTACAAAATGGATGACAGGGGAGAAAGTGAGAATAGAGTTTATTATTAAACAAGAGGAGGAATGATACAACATATTTATGCAGCAATACACTCAAATATCTAATTAATTAAATTCTCTATTTATACTCCAATAATTTAATTTGATGACATTTGCTTCCCTCGGAGCTCCCGTTTAACCTTTTCTTCGTCTAACCCATTACAATAACTAAAATCAATGTCTCGAATAGATGGCATGTTCGTTAACCACATTGGCACCTCTGAAATTCCGAATCGAACAATGTTTAACTGAGTTAGTGAAGTGAGGTGTTGAATTTCTTCTGGTATTGACTTCCAATGATCCTCTCCATATAATGTTAACGAGTGAAGGTGGTCCTTTAACTTTTCTATGCCTTGGAGACTTGGAAAAGAATTGAGCTCCTTCGAGAATGGACCAAGTGTCAACTCATTTAAGAAGGCAAAACAATCAAAAATTCGGTGGGGCAAGGAAGTCAGTTTTTCACAATGGAAAATTTGCAAAGTCTTTAAAGCATGACACTGGCTTGGCAAATTGGTTATTTCTAAAAGACTAGGACACAAGAAAATTTTTAAAGATACAAGAGATGTGAGGCCTTTCATGCTTTTAATGGACACCAGACCTGTACACATCCACATCTCTAAGGAAGCAAGAGGATGGGGATGACATTCATCTATGAGAATAATCTTTGGGCAATGAATAATCACCAACTTCTCAAGGACAGGCGATATCATTATTGAGCTATTGGTTTCTCCATCTATCCGCTTTTCTAGTCTTTTCATACGAAATAGTTTGAGGGATCTCAATGATGAAGACAAAGGCATCGTTGATCCAGTAACATTATTGCATTCGACTAAGTAACTCCTTAAGCATGTCACACTGTCCATTTTGCTTAACTCAAGATCCCGAAGATTTGGTAGGTGTTCAAGCTTTGGAAGAGAGAGACAACTCCTACAATCATTTAATGTGATCTCCACGAGATTGTTAAGGGGTGTCCCTTTCCCATCAATATAAACACCCATATTCATTACCCATTCTGGAAAATTATCACCAGAAAATTTTTTAATTTTCAATATTTTCAAATCTTTTGGGGGTTGCAAACCTTCCAATACATCCTTGTCATTTCTGTTGTCACCTTGATTGTCCGTATACCACTTGAATTCAATCTCGTATAAATTTTTCTTTCCGGATAAATCTGCTTTGATAGCATCATCTTTGCTAAAAACATTTCCTAGATTGGAAATACAGAGCTTTCCACTAAGGTTTTTCAAACGACCTAGCTCTTCAATTCGATAGCCCTTCTTCTTATGTACATCAAAGGAAGGCAATGTTCGAAGAGAAATTAAATGTCCCACAATATTGGCTGGAAGGGTTCTCCCATATTTGAGATATTGTAGACTTATCAAATTTCTCATGGATTTTGGAAACTTGAGATCATGGCAACTTAGCAGCTTCAGAGTTTGCAAATGGTATAATCTGCCAATAGATTGTGGTAGAACACGAATTTCGGTACCTGACAAATCAAGATACCTGAGGTGCACCAACCCTCCAATTGAATCGTCTATCTTCTCTATTGTACAATCTTTGAGTTTTAGGATCCGAATGCTCTTAAATTGCTGAAATGAAAATTTCTTCTCAAATTCACCATTGAAGAACAATGTATGCAAACTTCTAGCCATAGTATCCCTTTTAATGAACATATAAACATTAGCTTCAAGTTCATTATCCTTGTTCTGTTCTTGGTAAAAAGCGAGATGTTTAACCTGAGGAATATGAGATATATCATCATTGATTGCACCCACCACACGTAAACTTTCATGTTTGGAAAGTGATAAGGAAAGATTATGCACCAGATCATGCATTCTACAACCAGTGACATGACCATACTTATCCCTTTCAACATCCTGGAACAATGAATTGCTAACCAAAATCTGGAAAATATCATTTCCCACATCCTCTGTTCCCTTGTTTCTTTCCTCATCTACTTGAACCAACCCCAAAGCCATCCAAAGTTGGATCAATTCTTCCTTTCCATGACCATATCTTTCTTAAAGATGGAACAATATGCAAAGCATTTGTAACACCGAAAATTTTCAAACAAAATTTTCATTTTTTTTTATAAAACATAATTCCATCGATATTCATAAAAACAACTATTTTAATTATCCAACAAAACAGTACAAAATCCCAAGATCATAATATCAAGCTCCGAACGTGTGTGTATACGAATCAAGTCGGTGCCTTCCCGCGGTCATCACTAGTACCTAAAACAAATAACATCAACACTGTAAGCACAAGGCTTAGTGAGTTCCCCAAAATACCACATATAACACATATTAGCCACTCTAGGCTATAACTATGTGGGTCCGTGCACCCAACTCTGTGAACCCTCAGGTTCTAGCTCTGATAAACATGCACCACATAAATCACATAGAAATCATGCAGTACAACACACAACATACATAGCATACAAATACTCTATCACATAACTCTGGTTACCTACTCAAGGTAAAGTATAGTGAGAAGACTCACCTCGCGTATCTCGGTATCTCACGAATCCTGGAAATCCCTCGTGCTCGATCCTCCGAGCTCTAATCCTCCTATAACATTATATGCTTCTAATTAACACTTTATATCTCTAAGGTTGACTATCAAAAAGGAGTCAACACTGGTCAACTCTGGTTAACGGTCAACGGTCAACTCTGACCGGACTCGGCGAGTACCAAGGCGACTCGGCGAGTCTGGGCGTATACACCAATTTCCCTGGAATCCTCCCTTGACACGTCGAGCATTCACTCAACTCGACGAGTTCCACCTGGAATGAGTTGTGGGGCCACCACGACTCAACTCGAAGAGTCTCAAAACAACTCGGCGAGTCCAGTTTGACTCAATCCACCGATCCATTCTGACTCCCCCTTGACTCACTGAGTCCACCCTCCCCAACTCGGCGAGGCCACTCACTGTGTGGTCGGGCAACATTCATGCTACTCGCCGAGTCTGTTCTTCGGACTCGGCGAGTCCGTGCCATGCACTGACTCAATCTTGCTCTAAAGGTCAGATCCAGTCCATTAATCCATAGATCCAGTCCCTCCAAGCTCATTTAGCACGTAAAGTTACAATCTTGATGCACATACAACCTCTATATGACCATATATGATGTTTTTGACTCATTTACTACAACACAAGGTCATGGACTCCATTGTCATACATAAAGCTTGATGAGTGAGACTCCCTGGACCTCTATGGGTCCAGATCCATAACCTCAACTCAAGGAGGGAACCAATGGGCACCAAATCATCCCATAAATGACCACCATAAGCCCTAAATTGCATAATGCTTCACCAAACAGGAAATAGTCTGAGATCATACCTCTAGAGTGATGATCTAAGCCCCAAATCCACGAAATAGCAACCTCCTTTGCTTCCTCTTGCCTAGAGTCTCCTTCTTCTTGCTAAATAACACACACAAGGTCAAGAAATGCTCCTTTCTCTTCACAAATCTCTCAAGAGCACAAGGGTCTCTCACTGAGGGTTGGGTGAGCACAAATGACGGCTATAAGGCCCCTTAAATAGGCCTCAAACCTGGAAATTTAGGGTTTCATTACACAGCGCAGACTCGCCGAGTCCAAGCGCGCTTCATTGCCCAAATCCGCGTCCCTACTCAGCGAGTCTGAGCTCCAACTCGCCGAGTCCCCCTCACAATTCAACAAAATTAAATTTACAAGATACCTGGTAAAATCCGGATGTTACAGCATTTCTTGACGATAAAATTAGGGAGATTATCAAAGCTTAGTTCCAAACTCTTTTGAACTCTATCCTTTTCTTCTTCTAGATCCTACACCTTGCTATTTTTTATGGACAACCATTTCTCCATGTCATTGTAATTTGCTAACATTCCACCTATTACATTTAATAATAATGGTAAACCACCACACTTTTTTACAATCTCGTGCGCTATAACCTCTATTTCTAGCGATGGTGATTTTCCTGCCACAAATGCTTTTTCTCTAAAAATTGACCAACACTCGTCATTGGAAAGACCTTTTAGATGACATAAATCCTTGATCATATGATGAGTTCCGATTTCAAGCTTCCTTGTAGTGACAAGAATTCCACTTCCATTTTGTGAGTTAACATTTAGCATGCAACTCCTAAACTCTTCCCAATATGGCCTCTCTTCGACCCAAACATCATCCAAGACGAGCAAATATCTTTTTGATGCCAACTTCTCTTCAAGACTTTTTATTAAATTGACCCTTAAGTCTGATGTAGGTTTCTTCTCGGAAAGACATTCATAGATCCTTGCGAGAAGTGTGTTGATGTCAACCTTAACCAAAACACACAACCATGCTTTAACATTAAAATGTTTCTCAATCTTTTTATCATTGTAGACCAACTTAGCAAAAGCAGTCTTCCCTATCCCACCCATTCCCACAATCGGAACAATCCTAAGTTTTTCTTCTTTTCTTGATTGGGTTAAAAGTCCAATGATACGCATTTTATCATCATCCCTACCAACAATTTTAAATTCTTCTTGATTTGGAATAGTCTCCCTCCAATAGAGATGATCTATAACAGGGCCAACATGGTGTTCATTTTGTAGTCCTAAACCGTTTGCTTCTGTATTGATCTTAAGCAACTTTTCATTGATGTTTTGGATTTTATGACCTATTTTATAACGAAATGAAAACCTTTTCAAGCTTGGAAGGCACACTACCTTTCTTGCCATCCGATCTTGTTTCTTTATCTGACACCTCAACATTTCGTAATCAACCTCATCCAACACATCATCAGCTTCTCCCACTACATCTTTTAGCTGCTTCAGCCACACCATCACAGCCTCTATCCCCTTTTGTCTCTCCGCATCACGCAGCTTTGCACGAATCAGTTCCAATGTCTTGTGGAGGCTGGTCAGCTTTTCTTTGTAATCCCAAGAAATGGCGAGTTCGCCAACAGCGATAGACAAAACCTTTTTCAGTATCCCCTCGGCAGCAATAGTGACTAAAGCTTCGGCCATTTTCACTGTTTAAAAAAGAGAGGAGTAGAAGAATGGTGGGAAAAAATGATAAATTAAGTATGTGAGATGGTGGAACAAAGAGAGACCCAATGAATGGAAAAGGAAATTCATATGTTGGCGTGTATAGTGGAAAATGTTATCGAATCAGAAGGTGTCAAGAAATTGATTTATCTCTTTCCTAAGTTACAAGTTTAGAACATATACTTGCTTTTTTCTTTTCTTTTCTTTTTACATTGTGTCATTAATTATTTCTTATCTAACATATTAATATATCATAATATTTAATGTTTAATTAGTTAATATTAATGTTTTATATAAAGTAGAAGTTATCTTTGTAACTAGGTTATTTTTATTTACCTTTTGATATTCCTTTATTTTAATATGATGTGTAATTAAATACATGTTTCGATTTTAATCCCTATATTTCTTTACATGTGTGGGATAGATTTTTCCTACCCATTTATACGGAATATGGAATTTTTGTAACAATTGTGTGAATGAGAATATAATTAAAGCAAAATTACATAAATGGTTCCTGTATTATTTGCATATATTGTCCCACACGTTTTTGCTTGATGATGATATATAGTCCTTTTCGTTTTAATTTCTTGTGTAGCCGGTCGCTATGATTTTTTTTGGTTACAAATTTGATCAAAAATTATTAGTTTACCTCTTTTCAAGGGTTTTTATTTTCAATATTTTAATTTAAATTAATAAAAAAAATCCCATTAAAACTATCCCTAACCCGATCCCCTCTCACTGCCCAATACCACAAAGAAATCAACCCTGTCAACTACATTCTTCTTCTGTTGGGATGGAGAAATATGAAATAGAAGTAAACAAAACTGAAAATAAAGAAGTTTTTGAAATCAATTGCCGGTTTGAAGAAATCAACCCCTCGACTACCTTTTTACAAAAACTGAGGAGAAAGATTGAAAAGCGTTGTTCAGCTAGATTCTAGTTCAGCAAGTATAAAAATTAAGAAGCTTTGAAAATAGATCCAAATAATTTTTTTATATTGGTGAGGTTCCTAATTTGGAATTCTATTTATTTTTTTCTATCAGTCACAAAGATGATAATGGTCTTGATAATGAAACCTAATGCCAATAGATGTTTAACAGTTAGTCACAACAACTATCTCTGTGTATTGGTTTGTATATGTTTCATTTTCTTGAAACTCTATCTATCTAGATATTGTTCCTGGAAAGAGGATGACAATGGAGGAAGGAGAAGGGTAGGGAGTGGGAAGGGTATTATTAATATAAACTAGTAGAAGATCCAGATTTTTGCATTTTTTTGTTTGTTGCATGATTGGATATTTTAAGAGTGGATACATTTAAGGGTTCATTTTCATTCGTTTATTTGATTGGATACAATAAAAGGCAAGTATTCGGAAGTAGCAACACATAACATAATGGTATACTGCTCAAAGCTCAATGCTTCCTTAAAAAAGTACAGTGTTGCAATAGGAAGAAATGAAAGTAGGATGTTGTAATAAACTAATAGATAAAAGTAAATTCATATTTCTTGCATTTAGCCCTAACAAAGGGCAGTAACTACGATGCACCATTGAAAATATACCATAGGTTGAGACCTAACTATTAATCTACTTCAGGAAACGAATAGTTTAATTTGTTTCCATTCCTTATATGCTTGAAGAGCTACATTTGAAGAAGACAATGTAGTTTATTATTTTTTTTTCCAATATGGATTATGGGCAATGTACTTTGTCTTTTTATTGAAAAATAAAAATAAAAGTACAATGCTATAAGTGGTAGATTTTCTAAGTACAATGTTGTAAAGGAAAAAAGAAAATAGAGTACTATAATACAAAAATAATTGGAAGTATGTAGTTTCTTGCAATTACACTTTTTTTCTTTTTCAAATTTGGTAAACATAAATTCTTTTTTTTATTTCTAATTGATTGTCATTTGAGCATTTTGAAAAAAGTTCAAGTCCCAAAACCAAGCACACAAACTTTCAAATGCGTCCAACATCAAGTTATTAATTAGACTATAGGGAGTGGGGGCGGTAGAGACCGCACCTCTGGTGCCACCTAGGACGGAACACCGCCCCTTGACTGTTGTTTGGCTGCCGTCGATACCACACTACGACACTTCAAGGGTGCACTCTTTCAAGCTTTGTGATCGGTTCCTTTCCTTTAAGCTTTATGATTGGTTCCTTTTTATTATTTAAAAATAATAATAATAACCCAAGTGTGTCACCATTCCTTGAGTGTGGTATGAAACCACACTTTTGTGGTAAATGATGAGGTGGCGCCTACGTGTCACTACGGTTTCATGAGAGAGTGTGACCCAACTCCCTCCAGCCTTATTAAGCATTAATGATCACATGGCAAATGATTATAAATATTAAAAAAAGTTAATGTCAACTATCTTTTGTTTTTATAACTTGATCAAGGTCCTTTATTCTTAGTATGGAAAAAACAATTGACAATAAATTTTGAAGGTATTAAAATATATTTTAACCATTTACCAACTTTTTTTTAGTTAATATGGTGTAATCCGTGATGAATTACCTTCGATGCATATGAAAGAAGAAAGTTTCCTTACATATTAATGCTTATATAATATATATATATATATATATATATATATATATATATATATATATATATATATATATATATATATATATATATATATATATATAGTGATAACAACAATGAAAGTACAAAGGTCAACAAAGCCATTTAAGATGGTTGTTATCAAAAAGATTGAAAATGAATATTTATATTAATTTGTTATTCATAAGAACCTAGGAGTAAACATCATACAAACTACAAAAATCCATATATTCTAATAATATATTAGTAAAAATATTTAGAGAATCATACATGATGTAGTGGCTGGATTTCATATATTTTTATTTGAAATTTCAGGAACAGAGAGGAGGTCTCAGAAATCAATACTAAGGTGTTGTTTGTTTTTTTGAAGTAAAAATTCATGAAATCTGGAGACCACCTCTGCAACCCTCTGCAATAGAAGGGACGGAGCAAACAGTTGCAGACTGTAATAAGAAGTGTATTTGTTTTTTTTTAACATCTGCATGTTGCTGCAGATATTAAAAAATTAAAATAAACTTATTTTATAAACCAAAAATAGTTTTTTTATACCGAAAATTTAATAATATATGACATTTCAGCAATAATTTATGATATTTCAGCAAAAAAAAATAATGATATTTCAACAAAAAAAATAAAGATATTTTAGCAAAAAATAATAATTCATCATTATTTTTAGGGCTTTCTTTGGTTGAGACATGAGACAATGCAACATAATTAAGGGGTTAAATTTGATAAAAAAAATCTTAGGAAAAAAGAAACAAATATACTTCATATTATTAAATAGCATAACCTCTTGTTACTAGACCAAAGGTTTGAAAGCCTTGAGAAGCAATACCTGAGAATTAAAAATGCATATCAGCTAGACCCAGGAACCAAAATTGTAATTTACTCCCATGTATATGTAATCTGATGTAGGAAAGCTTTTATTCCAGGTGGGCTACTTAAACTTTTAGAAAGGATTTGTGTCCCTAATTCATTGAATCGTTTGCAAAATTGGACATGAACACATGAAAAAAAAAAGCTGAAGAAATCAGCATAGAGGCATAACCACAAATATTTTGTAAGCTCGAGTAAACAGGATAGTAAAGACCTAAATGCTAAAAGCGTGAAAATGGAAAACCTCGGAACAGAAATATAAAAAAAAAATAAAAAAATAAAAAAAAAGAGGATAAATGAGTGCGAATTTGGAATTTGGAATTTCAGAGCAGAAATTACTGATGGGATTCAAGTCTTCATAAATCTTGTAACCGAGCTATAAACAAATTTTGTGAAAAATTGAACCCATCACGAAGAAGAAGAAGAAGAAGAAAGCATAGCGGAGATGTACCAACTTTGGGTCTGAAGGGAGATACGGTGAAGAGAAAGGATGAGGGCTAAGGTTTTTCAGACCCTTTACTTGACCCCCAAATATGGAACGAACATGGGTGGTGGAGCTCGACTTGATTAATCAGCTGTTGTGGAGAACGATAGGCAAAGTGAGAGTAAAAAAAGTAAGACGGTGTAACACCCGATTCCTGGTACGTATTTAAATTCAAGAAATGTTGTAATTTACTCTGGGACTCTACGAGTTGGAGGCCCGACTCGTCGAGTAGACTCGTCATTTATCGGGGGTTTAAGTGGCCTACTTAACGAGTCGGGTTACTGACACAGCGAGTAGGAGCTATCTGAGTAAAACCCTAAATTTGAGGGTTTGCACCCTATTTAAACACTTTACAGCCTTCATCACCTCCATACCCTGTTCACGAAACCCTAAGCCTTACATAAGTATTCTTGAGCTTTTTGGTTCCATTTTTGTGTGATTGAAGTTTGAGAAGGAGAAGGAAGCTTGTGAGATCAAGATGAAGCAAGAAGATCCAGAGTTTTGGACACATTTCCAACTTATTTGAGGTATAAAGCTGAAACCTTGGCTACTCATCGCTTAGATCTTGATTTGGGGCTATTTTCTATATTTTTCTAAGAGGGACTCGATGAGACGGGGTGCATTTTCCACCAACTCCTTCTGTTTTTGGAGCAGTTGTTAAGATCGAAGGTTCCTCTAATTTTTTAGGTTCTCTAAGGACCTAGAAATCATAGGACTCGATGAGTGGATGAACAGACTCGGCAAGTTCAAGGCAATGTCCAAGCCACATGAAGATGGACTCGGAGAGTTCAAAGGGAACTCAGCAAGTTATAGACTGAACATCTTCTTATGGATGAAGATGAACTCGGCGAGTTCAAGGACGAACGCGACGAGTCGGTTGAAGATTGTCTATTGTGTTGTTGAAGGCGAACTCGTCGAGCTCTTGCTAGACTCGACGAGTAGAGACGAGATTATGGCATTTTGTGGATATGGGACTCGATGAGTTGACGGGCTCACTCGGTGAGTCGAGTCAACCAGATGTTGACTTTGACTTTGACTTTGACTTTGACTTTG